CCCCAAAACCCCAAAACCCCAAAACCCCAAAACCCCACCAATTTGAATTATATTGAATCTAACATTATTCCTAAGAAAAGTAAGGTGCCGATACCATTTTCTAAAAATGGTTAAGAGTCGGCATTCTGATCTATAATTTCCTTGGTGTAACTGATTCACTTCTCAATAGCATGATCAGATTCCTTGAAGCTGATAGGTCCCATGTTGAACATTATGAAGCCATGTATCTGGTATTGGTAATCAACAGCTTGGATATCAACACCAAGTTTTGCCATTTTGATTATGAATTCCAGACTAGTATCTCTCAGAGGATCATTTCCACTAATGATAATTCTCGTCATCGGAAATCAGACTTTACCGTCATTTCAAATAAGTTCCTCTGGCGCTAGGTTAGGTGAGAGGAGGAAATCCTTATCCCCATTGTTCTTAGTGTCGTAGCTACTAACTCAAAAGTCCAATACAACTGTGTTAAGAATATAGTCATCCAGAGAGTACAGCATTGATGGGATGAAATGCGTCCTTGAAACCAGCATTCCTGGGTAAATCAGACTCAAGCCTGTTGGGACTTTACAACTTTTCAACAAAGAAAGGAGGGTGACTCCTGTTCAAAGATTTCCTCCGGCAGAGTCACCTGCAAGGATTATTTTGTCAAAAGTCAGCTGGAGATATTCTTCAGCGTAGTATTGGAGCCATAAATAGACCATCCAACAATCGCTTAACCCGGTGGGATAAGCATATTTTGGTGCTAGTCGGTAATCCACGCTAAAGATAGGATACCCAGTTTCTTTGTTCATTTTACGCAGCAGAGGTTGATACACCCCTGTGCTTGTTGAAATAAACCCTCCGCCATGGATGAATAGGATTATTCCATCTATATGAGCTGGTGAAGCAGCTGGGTCCAAAAGCTTTCCTGTTTTCCAATTTACTTTACCCCAATCCTGATTGGTAATGATGTTTACTTTGACGTAATCGCTTGGGTTGACATCCCTACTAGTCATCATGAAGTTGAGTCCACTCCTGTTCTCCACTATGAAGGGCGAGGAGTTATCGAGATAAGTCTCGTGAGTGAGCTGATCGATCCGGGAAATCGGGACATAAATTATTTTGCTAACTTCAACTTTTGATAACACTGACGCAGTAAGAGTCAGAATAGACTGAATATATCTATTTTCGGGGAATTGTATCATCCTTCCAAATGTCTCAGGCTCAAGAGTATGCATAAATAAGTTCCCATTATCAGAGCCTGACTTAGAGTTCAGAAAGTAAAGAGAGCTATAGTATGCCATCGACACTAAAGACTTAGTGTAAGACTTATGCTGGAATCCTTTCTGGGCAATCCCCATATAAAATCCAATATTATTTCCGGCTTTTTCCAACCTTTTCAAATGATTGTCAAGATCAAATGGATTGATTACATCGAGATGCTTGTTGAGAATAGCAATATCCCTTGTGTTGTTTTCATTGAAAAATATAGATTCTTTATCAGCCATGAGGCTTGAGTAAAGAAACTCGAATCAAAACGCAAGTTTAATAGCATAAATCACGATTTTCCCAATTTTGACTGAGTCTTTAATTTTTAAATTTTCATTTAAAACATTAGCTAACATATCATTGAGACCATTGATAGCTTTCATGGTAAGCATTACAGCTGATACACATATGGTTCTGTCGCCACTAAGAAACTCTTCAATTACATCAGGTTTAACTGTAGGGAAGATTTCGTACATGATCTCTTTGACTCTGCTTATCTCTTCAATATCCCAATCATAATCAACCTCTGAATTTCCATCAGAAGCTTCAAAATGGTTGAAATGTTGGAGAATAATATAGTAAACAACTTCCAAGCATCTGATCTTTTCGCTGATCTCAGGAAGTGTTTCATGAATCTGCTTGGGAATATGCTCCATAAGTTTATCATCAATTTCTTTCTCTATAAAATTAATCAGTTCTTTCTCAACAGAGATTTTTTGCTCTAAATAAACCTTCATGGTCTGGAACAAATCAGTTTCTGTATAAACATGTTGATATTCTAGAGCTTCAAACAGCCTTGGAGTTTTAGGCTGGAACGAAGTACTTCTGGGAATTTTGAAGTCATTACTAAGAGAGTTCCGGCTCAGGGATCCTTTCCACTTGAAACTCTCACAGAAAGTGTCCCTGACAGTATTAGCAATGGCAGGTGGAGATTTGTCATCAAAATCTTTGTATTCTTCCATTAATAATTATTTCAATAATACTAAAGGAAATTGGGGTTTTGGGGTTTTGGGGTTTTGGGG